GTGTGCTGCGCTCCTCCTCCTCCTCCCCCCCCCCCCCCGGGACTTTTGTTTAAATTCATTTCTCGATGCTTGGTTGGAAGACTGTGACAAAAGCTCATGAAAAGTGAGTGTTATTTTCTTTCTTTTTTAATATGTAAAGTGCACTCTTCTGTATTCATGCATATTGTATATATCTGTATATGTTTTACTGAGCAACTAAATAACAATAAATATGATGTTAATGGTGGCTGTCTGTATACTTTTGGCTGGGTTTTTGCTTTCCCCCCCCCCATAAATGTCGCTCTGGGAGGCCGCCTGCTTCTGGGGACTCTGGCTGCTCTCTGGCAGAAGCTCCTTCCCCTGCTGAGGGCCGAATGGGGGCCAATCCAGCAGAGCCAGAGGCCCCCCCGCCCCCCCCCCGCTTGGCCGAGCCGTCCCCGTGGGTAGGAGGCAGGTCCTGCTGCCTCCCTGGGCTGGCTTCAGCTTGGGCTCTGCGGGGCCGGCTGTGCCGCTGAAGGGGCCCGACTTTCAGACCCCGCTGAAGGCCCTCTAAGGTGGCTGTGGCTGTGAGTGCAAGATCCACATTACACAAGGGGGGAATCTCCTCCTCCCCCCCGCCCCGCCCCGATAACAAAGGAAGGAGTGGGGGCTTTTGCCTGTGCGTATTCCTCCTTGGGCAGTCTTCTCCGCCAGTTCCGGGTCGTGGCCACGAGGGACTCCTGGGCATGCGGAGACGGGGGCGGAAGGGCTCTGCCAAAAGATGGCCACTTCCAACCCCTTTGACCATCTCTGGTGAAAGCAAAGGCCCTTCCGGCACTGCTGGGTGGCCGGTCGTGCCCCTTGGCTCCTGCCACCTCCTCTCCTTTTTCCGTGTGGGGAGTGAGGCCAGTCAAGAACGGTGGGGCGCCGAAGAACCTGGGCCCCTCAGCGCTGGCGCTCGGTGTTGCGGGGGCCGCCGTGCAGCTTCTGTGGGCCCCAACGGGGAAACCTTTTCTGGTCAGTGGCTGTGACACTCCCCCCTCCCGCCCCCGCTGTCATATTTCCCGAGCAGGGAGGCGGGTAGCCTCAGCCAGCATGCCCAGTCCCCAGGGCAGATGGTGCTTTGGAGGTGTGTGGCGACCTCCCAGTGCGTAGGTGCCCTGCGGAGGCACGTATGCATGTCCCCTGAGCCGAGAAACAGGGTTCCGTGTTTGGGGGGAACCCCAGCTGTTTCCTGTCGGTCTCACCTGCGGGGGGGCTCCTTCCTAGATGGTCCGTTTCTCCTGACCTCCACAGGCTGGAGGCGGCTGTTGCTGCTACCGTCGGGCCCAAGAGAAGCCTTCCTGTGCAGAGGAGAGAGACAGCCAGCCCCCCCCCCAAGCTCCACCAGCCCCTGGGGTGGTCTCGGCCGCTGCTCTGCCCTCCCTTTGTCCCTGGAAGCCCCCTGCTCGGGAGGGCCGGGGGGGGGGCAGAGATGTGGCTGGGATTGGCCGGTAGGAAAGAAATCATGGGGGGGCACACAGACCCATAAGAACATAAGAACATAAGAGACGCCAATGTTGGATCAGGCCAAAGGCCCATCCAGTCCAACACTCTGTGTCACACAGTGGCCAGAAATACCAGTGCCATCAGGAGGTCCAGCAGTGGGGCCAGGACATTAGAAGCCCTCCCACTGTTGACCCCCCCCAAGCACCAAGAAGACAGAGCATCACTTGCCCCAGAGCCCCTAGCTATACCTTGTGGCTAATAGCCACTGATGGACCTCTGCTCCATATGCTTATCTAATTCCCTTTTGAAGCTGTCCATGCTTGTAGCACCCACCACTTCCTGTGGCAGTGAATTCCATGTGTTAATCACTCTTTGGGTGAAGAAGTACTTCCTTTTATCCGTTCTAACCCGACCGCTCTGCAGTTTCATGGAGTGCCCACGAGTTCTTGTATTGTGAGAAAGGGAGAAAAGTACCTCTTTCTTTACCTGCTCTTTCCCATGCATAATCTTATAAACCTCGATCATGTCACCCCTCAGTCGTCTTTTCTCCAAGCTAAAGAGCCCTAAGCGCTTTAACCTTTCCTCATAGGGAAAGTGTTCCAACCCTTTTATCATTCGAGTTGCCCTTTTCTGCACTTTTTCCAAAGCTATAATATCCTTTTTAAGGTGTGGTGCCCAGAACTGCACACAGTATTCCAAATGAGGTCTCACCATTGATTTATATAGGGGCATTATTATATTGGCTGATCTGTTTTCAATACCCTTCCTAATAATCCCCAGCATAGCATTGGCCTTCTTTATTGCAGTCACACACTGTCTCGACATTTTCAGTGAGTTATCCACTACAACTCCAAGATCTCTCTCTTGCTCAGTCTCTGCCAGTTCAGACCCCATCAATGTGTATTTATATTTAGGATTTTTGGCTCCAATGTGCATCACCTTGCACTTGGCCACATTGAACCCCATTTGCCATGTTGACGCCCACTCGCCCATCCTTGACAGATCCCCTTGGAGTGCCTCACAATCCTCACTGGTTTTCACCACCCTGAACAACTTTGTATCATCCGCAAAT